ACCCGAACCAGTCATTGGCCAATCCACGTATTCCATAGAATTCCATTTTATTCAATAAAATTTCATGATCGACGCAATCAAATGCCTTGGATAGATCGCAGAAAATCCCCAAAGGGAGCTGTTTTGATTCCAAAATCTGGTTGATTTTTTCTAATAAGGCAAATGATGCGTCGGTTGTATTCATGTTCTGTCTGAATCCAAATTGTGAGTTTGTTATTATATTCTCTTTTTCAAGATAGGTGATCAGTTGTTGATTTGTATTCCATTCCAGCAGCTTGGAGAAACAAGATAACAGCGATATGGCTCTATAATTGTTCAGGTCGTATTTGTCGCCTTTTTTGTATAAAGGTATCGTGATGGACGTTTTTAATGCTGTTGGGAAGTTTCCTCCAGTGAAAGTGAGGTTGAACAAATGAGTTAAGGGACCTTTGAGAACGTTTATGTTATCTTTTATTGTGATTATTGGTATATCATCCAAACCAGTGGATTTTTTTGACTTCTGAGCAGAAACACATTTGATAATATCATTTTCGGTCAATGGTGCGAAAAAAAAGGAATTTACGTTGTTGAACTTTGTCATTTTCAAGTAATCAGAACTCAATGTCTTGCCTTTTTCTTTTGGAGCTGACATTTTACCCGTGTTCACGAAATATGTCTTGAATTCTTCAGCGATAAGTGTGGGGTCTGAGATTATTGTATTATTTTTATGGATAGAAAGATTTTCGCGAGTTTCAGTTTTTTTCCTAGTGAAATGCCCGACTATTTCCCAAGTTGTTTTTGCTTTGTTTGTAGAATTCGATAAAAGGTTTCCAAAGTACATAATTTTGGCAAATTTGATGATGTGGTTTAGCATACGTGTATACGTTTTTATATAATTTTGAATCCTGGGGTTGTTTGTGTATTTTTTTAGGTAGAGTAAGAAACGTTTATTTTGACATGATGTTTTTATCCCCGTAGTTATCCATCCTTTAAAACATTTTTGGTGGCTACTGACCGAGCTTTTTTTAGGAAATGCCTTGAGAAAACAGGAGTTGAACAACTCATAAAATAATACGAATCCGTCATTTATGTCCGTTTTTTCATAAAGAGGCTCCCAGTTAGTCTCATTGAGGTAGGTCGTGAATTTTTGATTATTCTTTCTATTGAAAATTCTGGTTTCTTTATAGATTGCGTTATATTTTTCACTTACTTGATTATCCAGTTCCAAGTTGAGGATTTGTGCGTTATGGTCAGATATTCCCAATTCAATGGTTTCTGCGTAGTAATCCAGATTTGTATGTACAAGTATATTGTCTAATGTTGTGGAAGTCGTTGGTGTTATTCTTGTAGGATCTTTTATTGTGATATCGAGATTGAGTATTTCCAGTATCAATTTGAAGTCTTCTAATTTTTTGTTTGGTGAAAGAAAGTTTACATTGAAATCCCCGCAGATTGTGAAGAATATATTCTTGGTAGAGGTCGCTGCGAGCAACTGTTTTCGAATTATTGGGATTAGAAATAATTAATGCAAGAAATTTGGAATGACAAGCAGTTGGAATTCAAAATTGATTCATTAAGTGAGGGATATTATTTTTCTTCTCTCTTCTTCTTCTTCATTAAAAATTGGAATCGGGTGTTATAACAATTTAATACTAATAACGACTAATAATGATAACAGTTATCAAGACCAAATCGATACTATAAAACAGTGAGTTGGAAAAGCTTGGATCAAAAGTACAGAAGGCAACTAGCTTCACTGTCCCAAGAACGAATAGAAATAACATGACGAGTACTCACTTGGTCGTTATTTTTTTAAATTGAAAGAGTCCAAAGAAGTAGGTACAAAGAAGTTGGAATCATATTTTGCATATACATTCCAATGTTGAATGTAGGAGAATATTGAATCAATGAAGAAAAATGCACTGGCATAGGTATCTTTTCTAATATTCACTCAAGGCGGCTCACAAGCCACACGCCACATGGAAATAATTTAAATGCATCGATTATTTCGAATCCCAATAACTCGAAAACAGTTGCTCGCAGCGACCTCTACCAGGAATATATTTTTTACACAAAAGTGTTTTAGAAATCTAATTTTCTACTATGAAATGTTATACACGTACGCACAAAAAAGTTATGACTTTTCAAAACACTCAAAAGACAAGTAGGTGGCGCCACCCACACGGAGGAGACAAACTAACATGAAATTCTATATTGTCATGAAAAATGCCCCTAGATACCAAATTTTATTCCAATATCACAATTAGTTTGAAATTTATTTAAAAATATATATAGTATAGGATTTGTTGAGGAACTACAGGAAGAGAACCTCTATCAGGGCGTTATAGTGTTTTCTCAATTAATCGGTAATGTAATTTGGATGAAATTTTGTGTTTTTGAACTACTTATATGCTTATCACCCACTAAGTCCACCATATATCGACGCACAGTATTTCCATCAGCATTACTCTTTCATGGTACAATCATGTCAGTTCCTTCGCGAAAACTGCCAAGGTCAGCCAGCACATCCATTTGTTGTCAACCTCGAAATATGTCGAGAAGCACCTTATCAAAAGTCGTTTCTCTGTAGAATGGGCAGAACGGTAAAGTTCTGGCATTAATTGTCTGAGGAAGTATTTCCATGAACTTATAATCTCCTTAAGTTCAAAAAAATGTCCTATGCCTAACTCTTCTCCCTATCCATCCTAGGTACACTCGTCTTCAGTGAACATGTTGCACATGGACGGTGTGCTCTCCCTAAATCACAGTTGCAATAAGAGGGGTAACACCGGCATGTTTTCTGAAGACGACTGTACCTACCCACGATGTTCTTCGAACATTATATGGATTTCCTTTCGTGCACTCCAAGCGATATGAAGAGAGACCAATATTTATTCTCCACTAGCACCAAATTTACTGTTTTGGTGCGAGATTCGCAGGAATATGACAGTCAAATCATGGCACTACTATAGTAGATATTCATCAATAACGACTTGCGATATCATTTCAAGTTGAGTAGGAATTGATTGGATTCGTCTGGTCATGACTAGACTTCCGCCCATTTGCCCTCAGTATTATTGTTTTTTTTTTGAGGACAAATAATGACAATAATAAGAAATAATAAGAATTGAAAAGGAGTGCTTATATAGTGACAATAGGCCCCTATTTCAGTTTCACAGAGCAATATTGTCATATGACTGCTTGTTGGTCAAGATGGAAGTCAGCCATATAATTTTCACTGAAGTTTCTCAAATGTTAAGGGGCTACTTAGAATAATATTATCCTCCATAATGCTCATTTTGCGGTTTTTCTTGGTTATTCCTCGATTTAAACAATCAACCAAACAAATTTTTTAATATGATTCATGATATTTTTGTGTGGTCTTGAACATTGTTTCATCACCATGTGAGTTATCTTATAGTGAAATTGTTTGAAAATTATTTCACCGCACCATGTGGGTTATCTTATAGTAGGGATTCCATAAATACACTTAATACACTAGAAAAGTCGATCTCACTGTGCCCAACATAAGCTTGTCAGGAGTAACCATACCTTTGAAGATATTAATTTCGATTCTTGGTATTACTATCAGCAATAACCTTTCTTGGAATACTGTTTCCATATTTGGAGTGCAGCACCCAAACATACCCTGAAACCGTTGGATTCTGTCCAAAAAAGGGCAATTCGTCTCGTGGGTGATGCATCGCTCACAAACTCACTCACTTCTCTGGAACACCGTAGAAAAGTTGGCAGTCCCCGCGAGATCAACCCATCGAGTTGAGGCTTCGCAACCATTCGTGGTCACTTTGGAAACCTGCCAAACATCTCTTTCCAAAGGCTCGTTCATCCAACGAACACCGAGGCTCTGGAACATATTGCCAAGGGAGGTGTTCCCCGAGGCATATAACCTCCAGACATTTAAGAAGATAACACCAATTCCTACCTTATTTCCCTTGGTTCTCACGATGTTGTCTGAACATTACAGGATATTCCTCTTTGTGGGAACAAGAATATAAAAAATGAAAGGAAAATGAAATGTTTTTTTTAGGACCAATTTCTTATACGGCTGATGATGGACATACGTATGTCCGAAATATGTGCCCCTAATGAGAATATTCACAGTTAAAAATCGTGAAGATGATTTTGTGTGATCATTATTATTCAGCGATTCATTTTGTTCTTCGAAGTAAAAGTACTATTTTATTTCGTTCCACCCCGTTGCCCGTCCCACCCCTTAATGAATGGTTCAATGCGAGCGTGGGCATTGCGGGAATTCCTAGTTTTTAATTAAATAGAGCCTGTTTGTCCGCCGTTCGAGTTATTGTACCGTTCACGGAGTTTGAAATTTTATCAAATTTTCATGAATTTTGATGCGGCGGCGGACGTTCATGTATGCTTTCATTAGCAATCTAGCGGGAGGAATATACCCGAAGATTTTTTTTCCGGGGACAAGTTCATCCATATATAATCTGATTCGTTGTCCCGGAAGAATGGAAATTAAACGGAACAATCCCAGTGGGTCATCTGCCAAAAAAAAATGATCAGTGCTCAGAAGAGTATAGTCTTCAGGAACCTGAACGGAAAAGTTTTTTTCCAACAAAACTCTGGTACTGTGAGCAGGATTGCTTACAGCTGTTGTGATGGTATCTGAAGTTGCACATGGGTCGTATATACTAATAGTACATTATGCACCCAGGGAATGAAGTGGTAGTTTGAATCCCTAGACAAAAAGTTCATAGCCCGACCAACGGGATAACGAAATATTTCAGGCACTGAATGAGGTCATCATTCTGACAGCAGATCCTCAACCGTTCAGAAGGGTAATGCAGTTTTGAGGAAAAGATATTGAATCGTGTAGGCATGGAAACGGAGGATATTTCGAACACTTTACTCTGATTCGATATTTTATGTTCCTAGTGAATTTTTTCTCAATTCCTTATTTGTGATTATCTTGTAACGCGCCTGGTATGTCGTGGTTGCAGTTTATTTTATTTTACTAGTGTGTTTAGTCAAACTATCAGATGCTAGGTTTTGTAGGTAGTTCTAGTTGTAAGGGGGAAGTGTGCGAATTGAAATTGACTCTGAAGGGAAGGCATTGGAAAATAGAAGGACGTTGTCAAAATAATGAAAACAAGTTAAAACAAGAAAGGGAATTTTTGACAAGTTGTCAAGTAAGAAGAAAGTTGATGATCAAGAAAATAAGCAGACGATTTTTGCCTGAAACCAGTATTCTGACGATACTGGATATCACAGAGTGAGGAGCGGAGTGGATGTTTGGTTCACGGCCAGTTTACCGGCCTACAGGGTGCACCCAAGGAGCAGCGAGAGCAGTGGCGAGAAGAACGATTCAATATTGTGAGTAGCAATATTGCTTGTCTTGTATAGTAGCAGTTAGAAGGTAAAAGGAGTTCCAGGCCTACGATTGCATTTCTTTTGGATCTTCGTCATCAATCTACAGAGTGATTTAAATTATATGAACTTGTTCTTGGGGGGGTTAACCGCAGATAGCGCTATAGACTTGAGATAGGTTTTAGGTTTAGAATCTTAAGGTTTGACCATTGTAGGGAGTGAATTATTGAGTGTTATTTCTATCTATGTCATTGTAATAATAGTTATTTATGTATCAAGGGCGTAAAGTAGGCGTTTATGGCCTGTGGCGTGAATAATGGCCCGATGGCGCTAGCCGAGGGCCATTACACGCTGAAGGCCATAATCGCATTTCACGCACGTGATACATACAAAATTTTATGCACTAGTGGTTTTTTTCTTGACTAAAATGTAATGACTATAGATTTCGATAAACTAATATCCCCCCGAATTTAATTTGTTACGTATCAATTCAGTAATCAAGAGAAGCGTAATGTTCATGGATAATTTACATATAAAAATTATAGTACGAATATTGCAATTAATCGTAATAGTAAAACTCTTTGATCTCTAGAAGAGATTCATTCTTCAGAATTTCACAATATGCATACCCAGTATATTATTATATACCTAACTAGCTTTGACGTTGTCAATCAAGCTGATGATTGTTATCTATAGCAATACATTCAATCTTGCATTCAATGAACGAGCTGAATTGTCATTCTTTGACTGAAAAGTAAAAATCAGTGATAATAATAATAGCGAGACTATGGAATCGGATGAAGAAGAAGTTTATGATATACCGCTGGATATATTTGAATCTAGGAAAATGATCATAGGTTTTTCATGAATTGATATGTGGATATGAGGTAACTAAGAACAGCGGGCGGTAAAGTGCACTTTATGGCCCGTGGGCTATAATGAGCCCGCGGGCGGTAAAGTGTGACTTAACGCCCGCAAAACCGGGCGGTAAAATGCACTTTACGGCCCGCTAGTGCATAAACGTTTTTAAATACTTCATTGTTTATTCTGGTGGAAGCAAGAGCAGAACCATAAATATATTCTCATTGAGTTACCTACAACATAGGGCTCTTTTCAATCTGTTCAATCAATGATTTCAGCACAAGAATAATTCATATTGTTTTCGAATCTGAATAAATAGATAATTCAAGTATCTGAATAGAATTCATTTTATACCCAGCACCATCAGCTATTACTCCATCTTTTCAATGTTGAATTCATTGATCTTCAAGTTGACAACAAATTCAGAAATCTAACCTCAAAGTCAGAGTCAGAAATAAAAACTAATGCACGTGATGTGGTAGCTCTCAACCAATGAACTCAATATACGTTCATTGCTATCAACACACATCCATTCAAAATTTCATTTCGATGTTGCCGGTTCGACATAATCGTAGAAAATTTGTGAAAAAATAGTATTGTCAACACCTTGTATCTTTTTTTTACGTCCAGAGATCATCGTGAGAACCAATGGTATAAGGTAGGAATTGGTGTTCATCTTGAATTTCTGGAGGTTATATACCTCGGCGAACACCTTCCTTGGCAATGTGCTCCAGAGCCTCGCTGTTCGTTGGATGAACTAGTCTTCGATAAGATATGTTCTGCAGGTCTCCAAAGTGACCACGAATGGGTGCGAAGCCTCAACTCGACGGGTTAATCTCGCGGGGACAGCCAAGGGAGGAACAATTGTTGATATTTCAAGAGAGCATCGCCTATGGAAATATCCATGAAATAGAGCCAGATCGCCAACTTTTCTACGGTGTTTCAGAGAAGTGACTGAGTTTGTGAGCGAGGCATCACCCACCAGACGAATTGCCCTTTTTGGACAAAATCTAACAGTTCCAGGATATGTTTGGGTGCTGCACTCCAAATATGGGGACAGTATTCCTGGACAGGTCGGATCGGTACCTTACAGATCATAAGCAGTTGACTGGAAGTGAAATAGTTGGTGTCTCGAAACAACAAACCAAGTTTTTGGGGTGCACTTTTAGCAATTGATCTCACGTGATTTCCCCAAGAAAGGTTATTGCTGATAGTTATACCAAACATCGAAATGGATGTCTTCGAAGGTATGATTACTCCTGACTAGCTTATGTTGGGCACAGTGAGATCGGCTTCTCTATAGAAAAGGCATGCTTGTGTTTTGTTTGCATTGAAATCTACCAAGTTATCGATCCTCATTCGAGAATTGTTGCTAAGTCCATATTTATGTTGTCAACATTTTTCCCTCGTACGTTTCTGATTTGCCTTTGCCTGGCTGGTATTGGAGCCCTGGAAGAGAAGGCGGTATGGAGGGTACTATCATCCGCGAAACTGTTTACTGGACATGAAGTTGCTTCCAACCAATCGTTGATATGGAGTAGAAATAGTGTTGGTGCTAGAATTGATCCTTGCGGAACACCAGCATTTATGATAAGAGAGTCAGGTGAAACTCCGTCGACCACTACATTTCACAGGATAGATCTGTTTGATAGAAATCTAGCTAGTAGAGAAGATAGCTTGAGAATGGATGCCGCTACGACATTTTTATTACTGAGCAAACACAACTTATTTTGCATTGTTCTACCTTCTCTAGCAAGGGAGTCAGGTATTTTCAAAACACTATGTATAATGGGATTCACTACTGAGATTGCTTCATATGGACCGGTCATCGTCTATAGTGCACATTCGTTTACTCGGAATCCATTTTATACTGTGTCATCAGATATAAAATATATGGCTAGCGGAAAATGGGTTTTTTCCTGCTCACTCCTTGAGGGCATTTTTCAACCGAACATTTGAATCGGGACTTTCGCCCTATGAGATATAGCGGGTAAATTTATGGATATGCTGATACAAATCTTCATTCCACATTATTCAGATAGAAAAGTCTCGCGGCGTTTTTTCCATTGTCGAGGGGAATCTTGATATTATTCGAATGTGTTGCACGTTTTCACAATTTAGTATATACGAAAGGTTGATTTACGAGAATTAAACAAAAAATAATATTTATTCTGTGAGCGGGTTCAACGTGTAGAGTTAGGAGTTCGACATCATCATTTAAACAGTGTAAACAGTCCATTTCTGTAGAAGTTTTGAATGTTTCATTATTCTTATTCACAAATACAGAGTGATCGACCCAAATGAAAGCTGGCCACCCTCATAACTTTTTTCTTATGTAGCGATTCTGACGATTTTTTTCATGCGGAGGGCGAAATAGTATTTTGTTTAACGAACACATGATGATAGCGATTACGAGAATGAAGTTTGCAGTATGAGTCATAGGCGAAAGCTGCAATCATTCGAATAGGAATTTAGCATTCCGTGCAAATTATACACTATACTTTCTCTACGGCTGTATCAGATAACAGCTGCGTTTTCGATATTTTCGACTTCTAGCCATCTGATCTCCTGTCGAGTAATGCTCTTCTATTAGACAGAGATGGAATGTCAAATTGCAAGCAATGACAGGCTTGCAATTTGATATTCCATGGGCGATGAGATTTTTTTGAAATAATAACACAATGAAGTCATTGTGATATCAGATACGGTAATAAAAATGATGACACACAAAGTACCTCGTTGATGTATCGAACTCAGTATAACAAGAAAAATGTTGTGTTATAGCAGTGAAAGAGGTGTATTTTGGAGCTGAGCGGCTTTCTTTCTTTTTTTAAAACCAAGGCCTACTAGATGACACTCAGAGGCTGAAAAATCCATAATTCATATTAGCGAATATCCTTTATAGTGTGTATGCCACTGGAATTGGCGTCCTCTGAAATAGTTTCATGAAAAAATGTTCAATTTATATGAAATTACTGACAAGTTGTTCATCATGCATTGAGAAGCTTTGTGTGTAGTAATCCATGCAATAAATAAATGAATACTTTTTTGATAACAACTCTGAAAAAACATTTCCATATAGATATTCCTCTGAAATGATATTGAATTAAAACAAATGATTGATTCCAAATTCTGGATTTTTTAACTATTTCTTGAATGAATAATCCCGTAAGAACAAAATCTAGGCAGTTATGTATAGGGAGCTCTGAGAGGAAACTTCATTATTTTGCGGTCATCTGTGCTTACTTCATTGAAGAGAGATTCAGAGTGAAATGGAAGTTTGGATGAAAATTTTGGAAACGCAGTTAAACAGGATAACAGGCAACTTGAAATCAACATCTGCGTGTCGTAATTCTTTTTCGAAATAATCCTTATTAACTCAACAACGTGACACCCTATATAATCATTCTCAACTATTTTCGAACCAAAATCATCGAATTAACCTATTCACGCCTAACGTCCTTTTAAAAGGACTTCAAAACGAAACCTGTATTTTACTGATTCAGCTGACGGTTTGAACATGTCGACAGTGTCACATTGTATTTAGTTGACATATTGAACAAGATCACTCGCGATCGTTAGGATTTTGTTAAGATTTGGATCGATGATGACGGTTGAGAAACGCTATGTTTCTAGTGATTTTGCAATGAGTGACTCAAGGTGAGACATGTTCAAATGTTTCCATTGTTGTTTTGATTATTTTCAACGACTTGCATATTATACTCACTTTTTTTGTAATTGTGGCTATGTTTTACATTTCTCGATCAATCCAGGAGCTTTCAATTGAACCAACGACTAGGATTATATGCTACTATGCGTTTTCTTTTGTGGATATTGGAAAAAGCCACTAACCATGGCAGAGCACTCAGAGGAATTGGAGAATGACTCTACGCCGGACATTCCTAGAGGCATTATGATTCCTCAACTCTAAAATGCCAACAAAAACTGCGATACCGATGAAGATTCTGGGACTGAAGACGATGTAGTTCCAAATTATTCACCTGGAGTACAACTAAGGGCCATTGCAAAAATGGAATTTGACATAGAAGGTGATCACAACTGGGATGTGATGACGATCTACCACTGTCCACTTTTGTTGAAAGGCGACCTGAAATCAAAAAGGCATTCCACTATACTCTCAATGG